AATCCACGATCACAGGTGGGGTAGTGATGGCGGCCCCCCCTAGAATTGCATGCAGCTCGGCGTAGAAGCGGCATGTCCGCGGCTCTGACCCGGAGCGACCGTTTGCCTCCTTTGTTTTTTGATAGGCTTGTCTGAGCTCCTTGACTTTCACGTGGCACTGATCTGAGTCCCTATTGTGACCTCTCTCCATCATGCCCTTGGAGATTTTTTCAAAAGTTTTGGCATTTCGTCTTTTAGAACAAAGTTCTGCTAGCACTGAATCCTCTCCCCATATAGCGATCAGATCCAGTACCTCCCATACGGTCCATGCTGGTGCTCTTTTTCGATTATCGGACTGCATGGTTACCTGTGCTGATGAGCTATCTGTGGTCACCTGTGCTCTCCATGCTGGGCAAACAGGAAATGAAATTCAAATATTCCCGGGGCTTTTCCTGTCTACCTGGCCAGTGCAACCGAGTTCAGATTGCTGTCCAGAGCGGTCACAATGGTGTACTGTGGGATAGCTCCCGGAGGCCAATACCATCGAATTGCGGCCACACTAACCCTAATTCGAAATGCTAAAATCGATTTTGGCGCTACTCCGCTCGTCGGGGTGGAGTACAGAAATCGATTTAAAGAGCCCTTTATTTCGAATTAAATGTCGTCGTTGTGTGGACGGGTGCAGGGTTAATTCGAATTAAGGCTGCTAAATCCGAATTAAAGTCGTAGTGTAGACCAGGCCCAAGGCTTTGTCTACACACTACATCATTTACAGTGGCGCAGCTGCACTCCTGTAGTGCTTCTGGTGAAGATGCCCTAAGCCAGGGGTGGCCAACCTGTGGCTCTGGAGCCACATGCGGCTCTTCAGAAGTTAATATGCAGCTCCTTGTATAGGCACCAACTCCGGGGCTGGAACTACAGGCGCCAACTTTCCAGTGTGCTGGGGGGTGCTCACTGCTCAACCCCTAGCTCTGACACAGGCCCTGCCTCCAGTCCACCCCTTCCTGCCCCCTCCCCTGCCATGCCCTTGCTCCTTCTGCCTCCCCCCCCAGAGCTTCCTGCATGCCACACAGCTGATCCAGAGGTGTGGGGAGGGAGGGGGAGGCGCTGACCAGCAGGGCTGCTGGTGGGTGGGAGGCGCTGGGAGCGGGGCAGGGGAGCTGATGGGGGGCTGTGGTTTTTTGGCAACCCCATCTCTGCTCTGGCCCCAGAGCTTGCCCTGCTCTGGCCCCAGAGCTTGCCCTGCTCTGCCCACCTGCCCAGCACTCCTGTCATGGAGGGGGCAGGGCCCCTGGCCCCCCCCCACACTTTTGGCAAGACTCCGTCACCCCTTGCTCCACCCCCTATGGTCACTGCTTCCTGAGCCGGCCCTGGAGCCGGGTCCCCCCACCCAGGCAGCTCTTTCTGGCTGTGCAAGTTGTCTTATCTGCCTCAGGATGCTGGTAGCTGAGGAGCAGCCACTGTCCCGGGCACCAGCAGCAGTGGGAGGAGATGGGGAAGTGCCATAGCTGCCCACTCCATGGCACTAGCCAGAACAGCAGCCACACTGCACTGCTCGGCTCCGGCTTCCCACCTCTGACCTGGTCAGGGGCGGAGCCTCGGGGGGGTGGGGGGGAAGAGGAGGAGGTGGGGGTGTGGAGCTGCCCCTGGAACTGCCCCCCTCTGTTTAAGGCACTGCAGTGCCCACCCAACTGTGCCCATGGACTTG